AGTTCTCTAGCTCTACCGATTCATTCATTGAATTGAGATAAAATCAGTGCCAAAATAATTTTTTTGCAGTGTGAAATTGTTGGTCTATTTTTCTCTGGGGCTTTTTACTAATATCTTTACAGAATTTTCTCATTATTATTTCTTATATTCTTTCAGGGCTAAATTGTATGGATGGCCAAACACGTACGTATTCACAAAGGCAATGGGAGAAATACTTCTAAGACACTCAAAAGATAATCTATCCATCGTCATCATACGTCCGACTGTAATCACCAGTACTTACAAAGAGCCATTTCCAGGTTGGGTCCAAGGTTTCAGGTATGAAGCTTGCAAGCACTGGTAAAATTTGACTAGATTTTACTCAGAAAACACTCATAACTCAGTTTGTTTGTTAACAAAATTATAAGTTATGAGACACTGGAACTAATACAATAGATTAGTGGTTAATTATATTGTTTCCAAAATTTTCAAATTTTCATTGGGGACTGAGAAAGAAAACAAAAGGCTACTAATTATTATTATTTTATTTGGGTAAAGAAAAGGCTAATTGTGATATAGGTCTCTGGGCAGATTCAGAAAAATTTAATGGTACAATGATTTTTATTCGGTAGGGTCTTATAACTAAATTTCAACATGTGTGCAATCTTTGTTGTTGTTGTTGTTGTTGCAGAACCATTGATAGTGTAATTGCTGGTTATTGTAAAGGGAAGCTGACATGTTTGCTTGTGGATCCTATGTCAGTATTCGATATGGTAAGTTTCAGTAAACTTCATGGTTCTCCAAATACTCATAGGTACAAGCACACAACAGTAATTTTACAATCAAAACTATCGATTTTGAAATTATGCAGGTTCCTGTTGATATGGTGGTAAATTCAATAACTGTAGCAATGGTGGCAAATGCAAATAAACCGTCTAGTATCATTTACCATGTGGGAAGCTCTTTGAGAAATCCTATCAATTTCCTTAATATTCACAGTTTTGTCTTCCGATACTTCACAAAAAATCCATGGATTGACAAGGATGGAAAGCCTGTCAAGGTTGGCAAGCTTAAATTCTTCAAGACTATGGCTACTTTTCGCATGTATATGCAAATTCGCTTCATGCTACCTTTGGAGGTTTGTAATTTCACCGTTAATAGTAATGTTATATACAGTAATTACATATTATATTTATATATTTATATGCATAATATTACCTTTAATTCTTCTTTGAAGGGTTTAAAGTTCATGAACAAAGCATTTGGCGGATATTTCCAAGATCTGTATGTTAACTATAATCAGAAACTCAAATTGGTGATGTGCTTGGTAGAGCTATACGAACCTTATATGCTATTCAAGGGCATGTACGTATATGCTAGCTCCAATTTGGTTATTAATTAAACATTTGTTTTTATCATTGAATTAGTTAATTTGATTTAAATGCAGCTTTGATGACAACAATGCTGAGGAATTGCGAAGGATAACAAGGGAGAGGTTCGTTGATGCGGAAGCTTTCAATTTTGATGCAAGATGCATTGATTGGGAAGACTACATTATGCACACTCACATTCCTGGTCTCCAGAAACATGTTATGATGAAACGATAATCGAGAGGTGCATTGTCCTTGAGAAAATAAAATATTGATACAAATATAGGTATATTTTAATGTACCTATATATATATATTTGTACCGTAATTAAATGATATATAATTGTGTTTGGAATTACTTACATATTCAAAATAATGTACATTGTTGAAATCTCAATACGTACACAATCTCCTTCACTAGATTTAATAAAAACATTAGGAAACTCACTATATCCAAACTCCTTGATTAGAGTAATTTTTCTATAATTAAGAAAACTAACATAATTTTTAGGCAAAATGTCACTTTGGTCCTTGTTTATCACTTTTACCATTAAGGGCCATCTAGTTTTAATTTTGAAGCAATTCAAGGACAATCCTCAATTTATGTCAAATTTTTTAAACTTTCGTTACTTGGGGAGGGGCAATTCGATCATATTATTAAAAAATTCTTTCCTTTTAAAAATAAACAATACAAAATAATAAATAATAAATAATAAAAAATATATATTCTTCTCCCTCTCTCTCCCGGCCCCTCCCGCTCCCTTTCCCCTAACTTCACCACCATACCACAACCACCACCCAACCCGAAGCCACCCTCAACACAACCACTCCAACCTCACCCAACAAGCCACTGCCCAACATCACCCACCAAGCAACCGACCCTTACCATGCTCCCGCCACAAAACTTCTCAAGACACCCCACTTCTCTCTCTCTCTTCTCCCAAGCCCATCCCTGACACCCATACAGTCACCCACCCCACCACGACCACCCCTGTCCCTCGCCCCTTGTTTCAAACCCACCCCCTCTTTCCCAGCACAACCCACCAACCCAAAATCTTTATCCACTCCTTAAAAAAAGGCCTCCATCAATAACAGCACGAAAGCATAGAAACAGAGGGAGAGTGTCCACTAGATCTTATCCCAGCCACATCAAATTTGGAGGATGGCAAGGTCACCTCCTCCATTATTGTCTGTTTCAACTAAATGACAATTCTTTCTCTCAACCAACCCATTTTTCTCAAGATGTTTTGGATAGGAAAATTGTCACGCCCCGGACCCGGGGGTAGGTGGAAACCTCGCGCCCGGTGCGTGAGAAAATAAAAGTAAAATAAAATAAAAAGAAAGCCAAAAGAGGGTTTAAAATAAACTTTTTCTTATAAAAATAGATCCAAAATCTTACAACTTTACAAAAAATAAATAAAGCTCTATTACTCTCATCTAATTCAGCCTCAACTGGTTTAGTCCTTGTCTTGCCCACTAATTCATCTGAAAAATTAAATAGGGTGAGGGATGAGCAACCACCGCTCAGTAGGGACATGAGACCTTACCACAGTAGATTGATATAACTAAATTAAGCGTCATGCAATCACACAGCCAAATATCATGACAGGACCCGCCCCGGATTTCCTCGGAAATCGGGACGGATCCCGTCTAAAAATCCGACATTCCGCAGATGCCGGGCCCACTTACTAAAAACCGAGACTTTCTACCAAAAATTTGGCAGAGTCTCCCCTGTAAACATGACAAATCCCAAAATTCCAAACCTGTCAAAAACACAGATAAAAACAACCCAACAGCCAGCATGCATTACACAAAGCATAGTGTTACAAACCATGGCCTCCGGCCTCAAAAATCACATCCTAACAGGGCAATAACAGAGCAACTATCAGAATTCAAAAATTTACAAGTAGGAAGGAAGTTTAACGATTTTTACATAGCACAGAGGCTCTGAGAAGGCTCAAGTACTGAAGCTCGTGAAAACAGGAGCACAAAACACGGCACTGCGGCTCGTTCCAGTCACTACTGGCTGTGGGGCGCAAAACAGAAAATTGTGAGTGGACAAAACAAAGTTTAGTTCAATTTAAACCAAAGTAATATAACCCCACCGTTAGAAAACCATGCATTAAAAACCATCATAATCATATATATATATATATAGTTTGCTCAAACCCGAGCTAAATCCGAAATCTAGTGAAACAATCAACCCATCCAAACCCTTCCTTACCAATCTTAAAACAAACTCTCGAAACACGTGCCCACCGGCACGACGAGCGGGGAAGTATCCTCGCTCAAAAACAAGAACAAA